CGATCCTCGATGCAGCTCACAAGCCAGCAACCAAAAAGTGCTATTCGGCGTGCCTCAACCGGTTCCAGGCTTCCTCTCCGAAAAGGGCCTGGACGATGATCGACCGTCGGTACCATCGATCCTCTCGTTCTTGTTGCACCTTACCGAACGGGGCTTGTTGCTGTCGTCACTCAAGTCTCACCTGGCGGCCATCTCTTGGCAGCTTCAACGGACAGGAGAAGCTTCCTTGTTTAAGGACAGCTCCGTGAAGTCTTTCCTGCGGGGTTTTAACAACCTGCACCCCCCAGTCCGCTCCCCGACTCCGGGTTGGGACCTCAACCTTGTGCTGGCTCGGCTCGCACAAGCGCCCTTTGAACCGTTGGCATCAATTGACCTTCGACTTCTGTCATGGAAGGTGGCTTTTCTTGTCGCTATCACCTCGGCCCGTAGGCCCTCGGAACTTGCGGCACTGCGTGTGGACGAACTGTACTTTGTTGTCCATGAGGACAGGGCAGTCCTCCGCACGGACGTGACATTCCTTCCTAAAGTTGTGTCCCCTTTCCATGTTAATGAAGACATTGTCCTCCCCTCGTTGTGTCAGTCTCCCTCTACCCCGAGGGAAAAAAGACTTCATATGCTCGATGTGCGGAGAGCATTACTCGGTTATAGGGACAGAACTGCTCAGTCTCAAAGGACTCAAAGACTGTTCGTGGCATATGCCCAGGATAAGGTGGGCCTACCGATTACGGCGCAACGTTTGTCCCACTGGATCACCTCGACAATCGAGCTTTGTTATCAGCTTGCTCGACAACAACCCCCCTCGGTTGTCTGGGCTCAGTCAACCAGGGCTATGGCGGCATCGACAGCCTTCCTTAAGGGGATTCCCCTGGACGCTATTTGCAAAGCGGCCATTTGGAAGAATCCTCAGACATTTGTTTCACATTATAGACTGAATACCAGGTATACACCTGACATGGCCTTTGGGAGGGCAATTCTGGGGTCATGTCCGCCTTAAACTTTGCGAAGTTTCTTGTATTTTATCGGTACCGGGAGCTTCTTCGGTACCGTATATTGTTGTGAATGTTATTACCATGTTTTTTACTTGAATTCAACTGTTTACCGGTGCTGGTGAATGTAATTGCACCTTTACACTTAATGCCTTTACTGCCTGAGGCGCAGGCAACCTTGCACTATAGCCGAGTGGGGCTCATCACGGGTAGTGCTTTGTGTCGATATCGACGTCTTTGCCTTGCAAATGTGTTTTTGCACTTGTTGACAAATCTGTTTTGTGTAACTACTTAATGTGCCCTCATTGCAATGAGTGTCTTCGGCAATCACCATGTGGTTTCTCTCAAGGGTCATAAGTTCACTTTAATTGTTCAAGAATGCCCTCATTTATTGAGTGTCCTTCACTGTAGGTTGGTCACCCTCACGTGACCGGGAGGATCACGTACTCCCATAAGTTTTATGCACTGTGCCCTTCTTTGGAAGTGATTACAATCTCGTGTTTGGTAACTGTTTGCACTTAATAAAATTGTTTGGCCCTTGACTTGAATAGTCGGTTTGCATTCTTCCCGCCTCCGGGACCTGAGCTTGCTAGTCTCCACAAGTGTGCATTCGCAGAGACCACGAAGAAAAATGGTAGGTTACATACCTGTGACCATCTTTCTTCGAGTGGTGCTCTGCGAATTCACACTAACCCGCCCAGCCTCCCCTCTAAGCAAACCTCCAATTTCTCGCTACCGTAGCGGCATAGGAATTGGATCGGTGTGCGCGGGGCGCCCTTTTATCCCCTGCCGGGGCTGGGCGGGGTTACCGCCAAAACTTGAAAAGTTTTAAAATGTAGAAGTTTCCGTTGGAGCCCGTGCAGGCGCAGTCTCTCCACAAGTGTGAATTCGCAGAGCACCACTCGAAGAAAGATGGTCACAGGTATGTAACCTACCATTAATCAGTATTACTCTTCTTATGGTCTTTTTCTGATTAGATATGATGTGTCTGTACAACTATTTGAAGCTGCTTTCAAATTTTCATCTACCAAACAGGGTAAAAACATTTTAACAACCACAATAACAATAGCTACAATTATTGTACCCTTTGAATTGTGTTTTCACATATTTTGGCCATCCCAAAAGAGATTAAAGAGTTTGGAGCCCTGGAGCAATTCTGAAAATAAAGTGCCCTTTCTGAACTTGTATGAGCTGTTCTGGGAGTGGTGAAATGGATATTAACAGACAGCACGACTGGAATATTCATATGTGAAGAACCCCTTTCACCCCTTCAGTTTCAGCATTATTTGTTGTAAAATTTGGGAAGTGTACTGGTGGCTTGCCAGTACAAGCCTAGAGAAGACAAAAATGCCCCTCTTACTCCTAGGTTTTGTCCATTCCTGATTAAAGCCCCTAGTCTTGTTGATTTAAGTGAATAGGAATTCTTAAATTTTTAGCACACTGAAACATTCTGATGAATTGCGCCCTTGTGTGTGTATACTTGTTTTGTAGCCCTTTCCACCTCAAGGGTTCTGGCTGCGTAATATGTTAAACACAAACAGCTGAAATTATTAAAACCCAACCTTCTTCTTAGCCTTCCACTGCCAATGTTGGCTGAAAACAACATTCACATTGCTTCCAGAACATGCTCAGACTTAATTTTTGGCAAGGCACCAAGGAAACTTTTTCCACACATGAAAGATAGGCAGTGTGAAGACCACTCTGCACTCCATCAAAGTCTAAACAGGGCAACATGAGAGTACTGTTGATTTAAAAACAACAGGCGATTTAATTATACAAGAGGATTGTTGGGTGAATGAGAGATCGGAAAGTGGAAAAATGACCTTATCCAAAGCTTTGCCAAGCTCTTTAATTTTATGATTTCCCTCTCATTGGTTAAATTGGGTAACACAGTTTGCATCAGCTCTATGTCTGGCATACATTTCCCAAATTCTGGTGGTGTGTTAGGGAAATTGGAAAGGCTATGCAATCCATGGATTCAGACCATCTTAAATCTGCCTTTACCGATGTCAGATCTGATGTGGCAGAGACAGAGAACATTCCACTGTGGTTGGGAGGGCTTTTGAAAGGTCAGACCCTTTCCCCTCTGTCTTCAGAGGAGAAAATTTAAAACAGGGTGAGTAATTTGTAATATCTGGGAGCTAATTACTAGCCCCTGGGACCATTTCAGAGATGAGAATTAGAGAACAAGAAGAAGGAAGGAGAAGGAGAAGAAGGAGAGGGGAGGAGGAGGCATTATTATTATTATTATTATTATTATTATTATTATTAATTATCATTATACCATAGACCAGGGATCCTCCAACTTTTAAAGAAGAGGGCCAGATCACGGTCCTTCAGACTGTTGTGGGGAGGGGGAAAATTATCGTTTTTGGTTTTTTTTAAAAAAAAACATAAATGGATTCCTATACACACTGTAAATATTTGTAGTGCAAATGAAAAACATGAAAGAACAATACAATATTTACAATGAAGAATAATTTTAACCAGCATAAACTTACCGGTATTTCAGTGGGGAGTTTGAGCCTGCTTTTGACTTATGAGATAATAAAGTTAATTAGTATGGTTTTTGTTGTGTGTCTTCAAGTCCTTTCAGGCTTAGAATGACTCTAAGCCTAAAGTTTAGAGCAGGTAAATGACCTTGGAGGGCCACATCCGGCCTGCAGACCTTAGTTTGGGGACCCTTGCCATAGACACTGGTGAAAATGTTATATCTGCGTAAAGCCTGACCCCTGAGTGACCTTAAGAGCCAGAAGCCAGGTAAGATGAATGTCAGTTCAGCTTCTGATAGGACAGCCCCCAATTTATCCACCACAGATCAAAAAGATCATATGGCCCATGATTGGCTGGGATTACAGCAGATGATGTCATAAATTTCCATCTGATTATGCATAGCATAGCCAGATGCTTCTTTAATCCACTTCCTGCTCTCCATCAGACATATTCAGTGGGTCTATTGCAGAAAAAATGAGAGTCAGAGGGGAGGGTGTTGGTGCTGCGGAGAGTACAGGAGAATTTCAGCCTCCGCAATAATCAATATAGATACACAGAGGCATAAGGTAAACTTAATGCTTATGTAGATCAGTAACAGGATTCTGTACACCGTGTGATCTGTTGCCAGTCATAACCAGTAAGAAGGTCAATTGAGTGGGCAACACATGGAGAACAAGCCACATTTATCCCTTGCATCCTTTTTTCTACCTCTCACAGCACCTCTATAACCATCACATAATCTACTGCTGTAGTCCATACCCTAAAAACCATGACTGTTTCCTCCTTCTTGTCACCTTCAGTATGAAAAGGAAAAAGACACTCTCCCTGCAGTTTCTCATTGATCTATGGCCTCACTGAGCTGTTGCATTGCCATTGCATCACAGAGACAACTGCAGCAGTGGGAACAGCAGGAGGACACAGCTCCTGAAAAGTTGTAGGATCTAATTGAGATTCTCCAACACAGCATTGTCGTTCTCCCTTGAGCTAGAGGGACGTAATTCATAAGAACATACAATGTCAGCATTGCATGTTCTCATGATGCTCGTGGTGCTTATAACTGTGGGAATCAGCTCCAAAGGTATAGCTGATGTAATTATTTTGGTGAAGGAAAAACATATGCAGTGTATGATGTTCAATTCTGAATTGGAGTAAAAATAGTAAACATCTGCCAGGGCAAAAAAGCAGACTGCTTCTGCCTCACTCACCCTATTATTTCCCTTACATCTTTAGAATGCAAGTGTGCGCTCTTTAACATCTGGTTCCAAACTGTTTGCTTTCTGTTTGATGAGAAAAGATCTATGCAGAGATCTGTATGCATGACCATCTGGTTTTTAAAATGTGACTGGTGTAAGTATTTGCCAGCAAAGAGATACTGACTTAACACCCTGGCC